ACATAGGAAATAGCAGCATAGGAATAGCATAGGAAACTACAAATCTGTAGTTGAATTACTGTATGTTGAGTAATTTTTGATTGGAATGCCTATTAATTGAGCTTAAAGATCTTGGATTGTTTTACACAAAAATACAAATGTGCTTGGAAATATTCAATACTCTCATATAATAGATAAACAAATAATAGTAATGGTCTTTTGATTATCAAAGAAGCTGGCTACAATAATTGACCACTTAATTAAAACTGTTTGTGATTTTCAATCTGCCTCGAGATGTTGTTATAAATTTACAATTTCCAATATAGCATTTTTATTTAAAAAATTGATAAGGGAATTAAATTTACTGAGGCTTCATTAACAAATCAGTGACATGATACTGTAGATAGTACCGTACATGATGTAATTTACATTGTTGATGCGGCGTGTGGTAAATTCCACACATGTCATAATGTATTTTGTGGTTGTTAATGTTGCACTAGACTACACTTTGTCCTATGACTCTCAATTGGCCTTTTGATGTTATTATATAACATACAATTTCTAATAAAACATTTTGATTTAAAAAATGACAAGCGATTGAAATCAGTTGAATCTTTATTAACAATTGATAACTTGATGCACAGTGTGTACTGTATTTTACATTAACATTGTTGCATTTATGTCGTAGTGTATTTTGTGGTTTTTACATTGCACTAATTCATCCTGTTTTAACTACATACAATAGGCCTAGTATTGATATGCAGACAGCTGATGGTGATTTTCCATTTATTTCATGTGGGAAGTTTTGTGTACACAGACACACACCCTGGAACCCTGCCATTGTTAATAGTGACTCATTTTTCAGGGATCACCTTAAATATATATGTTCCACATGGCATTGAACATGGCATGAAAGTGGTCATGTGATTATATTTGTATATGGAGAAAATGGATAAAGGTTTTTTGTGTACAGTAGCTATGTATGTTGAAGAACTTTATCATTAATTTAGAGTATGGAATTAGTTTCCTTAAAGTATTCCTTGAGGAAACTAGTTATTCCTTTAGACAGTTCCTTTAGGATATAATATGATTCTTCTTATAGTCATTTAGCAGCTTTGGATGATATGGAAAATCGTTTTTAATTAATGCTTATTAAATATTAAGAATATACATTCCCTGAGTAAATGATTTCTTGTTTAATTTGATTCAGAAAGAGTTCCTTCAAGTCAGTACCATTAAGAATGATTCCTTAAGTTAATAGCTAGATGATTCCTGAAATAGATTCCTTTTTGATCATAAGTAATTCCATTTTAATCACTTCAGTTATTTATTTATTTTATTTATTTATTCTTTATTTAGACTGCATGCACTTTCAGTACTTGAGTACTGTTTTTCAAAGTGGTACAGTTACAAACCATGAAATAGAAAGAAGATAATACAAATTAAAAAAAAGTGAAAAGAAGATTCAATGTAAAACTTTAAAATTAATAGAATGTTAGAATGAAACTAAGGTCATTTCTTTAAAGTTAGTTTTTGTTTCATTTGGAATTTCATGCCATTAACTTGACTTGTAGTCTTTCATTGTCCTCCATATAATAATTTCTTTTATTCCTTTAAATGCATTATCTGGTAAAAGTTCACATCCTTTTCAACCATAATGTTGTTGAACTTCTCTACTACTTTACTGTAGACTTTTTTTAACCACACAGCATATGCAGTAATCCATTGAATTTAATATCATATCCTTATGATATTGAAAGTCAATTTTATAAATACTTACCAGAATAAGCTGACTTTATACTTTAAAATCCGGAAGATAAATGGCATTAACATAAAGAAGAATTACTCAGACATGATTGTAATTTAGTCACCAACAAGCATTCACGCACGTTCAGGAACATGTAGCAGACTTCATGTGGCAATAGAATTTTTAAGATTGGTTTCTAAAAATGTTAATGATTTGTTAACCGATACATACATTAACTAATAGATAATCCTGTATCGCTGATATCTCCTGAGTCTGATCCTGGCGGAACTGATTCCGGTATCATTAGTGTGAAAGCTTTTAATTTCCTTCTGGGCCTTGTACAGTATATAGTATTGATTGTTGAAGCCATTGAATGAGATGCATACATGAATAGCATGTAACAAATATTATATGTTTTTGAAGGATTTTTTTATGATAATGATACCTATAGGTAGATTTTTTTATGATAATGATACCTGTAGGTAGGCAATTATTGTTAATTGTTATTAAACTTTACTTCATTGATGAGGATTATTGTTTTTATAATTTTGTATAATAAGAATTTATAATGATGATACCAATAATTTAAACTTCTTAATAATAGTATGAAAATATTGAACATATACACTATAATACCATCAATCATAATAATTATATAGTATTTGTATAGTGAAACTTAAATGTAATTATGCATTTCAGTTGACAACTCTGATTTATGATAATTGGATTGTAGTTACTACAACTCGCTTCTAATTATCATCTCTGATTTGATTAATTTAATTTTAACAGTTTGTTGACATACAGAACAGTACAATTGAAAAATACTGTAAAACACTTCAAAATAATCAAAATACATTACATTACTGCTGTGTTGAGCTAAAGGAAAGAACAATAACAAAAAATTATTTCTTGTCAATTAACACATCATTCTTTTTCACTTCACTTTTATTCACTTGTTATTTACTAAACTACAATTTTGGATGTAATTTTGATGAATTGTGATATTAATGGTTATTAATGCATATGACTTAGTATTAGTAAGTTACACTAAAAATGATAGTTTTCTCATATTATATCGGTGACAGAACAACAAAAAATGTTTATATGTTTATTAAAAAATATTTTTGATGCATTAGTGTAAATGTAACAGTTTTGTAATTTATGTCTATTGGCTACACTACAGTAATACAGTAGATAACTTGAGTGTGGTATTGGTACAGTATACTGTACATAATCAATAAAATCCATCTATTTATTTATTTATTTGTTCTTTATGGGTGGACTCTTCAGTCAAAAAGACTATTCTCCCAGAGTGCCCAGTATCCACACAGATAAAATGGAGAAAATAAAAAAAATTCGGTCAATGTGTAACATCTAATTAATGATGGTAACGGTGGCATGCATTTCAGGAATTTTGCTCAGAGATCTTATATAAGCAAGCGATGTCAGAAAATTCATTATTAAAGTTAACATATTTATGATTTCAGATTTCATAAATATTAGATGGTAATTTAAGCTGGAGCTGTGGATATCAATAAAGTAGAATCTCATGCTATAAAGTGTATTTTGTTTAAATTGTTAATATTAATATTAGTTGCAAGTTGGCATTGTTGGTATAATTTAATATGATAAATAGATAAATATATTATATTATATAAAACTTTAAAAGGGTTGATAATTCAGCAAAGCTGTTCGCCATGTACTGTACACACCCACCACTTTCAATTGTGATTAGTAGTGGCGGCAGGATGTGGCCGACAATGTGCTAATAGATCATTAATGGCCAAGCCCAAAGTGGCCACCAAGAACCCTTCAAAGCGGGTTCAAGAAGGTGAAGCTTATGGAGACTTCGACAGTTAAGAAATTTGAAAGGCTATTTAATTGATTTTAGAGGTTTACAATCTGTATAATTACATACATAGTGCTTTTTCACCTCAATAATAGGGGCCAGTTCATGTTTTTATTGGAGATAATTCATATCTTATATTTTTTTTTTTTTGCTTAGTTTCCAGTGACCTTGAGTGATAGTAACTCTGACCACAAAATGATTTTATACATAGTATTTGTGGTCTGACATTGAAAGTCATAATTGTTATCCCAAGAGTAAAGGCAGGAATTGTCAAGGATATGTAGTGGGTGTAGCTCTAGTACCAGCTTTAGTACTACAAAAGATACCAGAAAAATAAATGACTGTTATTCTTGCCAAAGACTGGTCATACTTTCAGTCCAGATCTAAATATAGAATTTTACTTTCTCGGGGGCGAGATAAAATTGATTGAAGACAGCAAAATAATAATTAATATTTTCTATACAATTTATACATTTAACACATGTTTTCTTGTAAGATGTCATCATTATGATGACCATCATTATCATCATCTAATCATCAAAATATATTGACATCGTTACTACTAACTGTAAGATCTTAATGAAATTTAACTTCATTTGACATACAATATTTTATTACATGCTAACTGAGAGTGTCATCAGAGGTCATTATAATAATTATTTTAATCAAAATAATAGGCCCCTAATTGATAATTATTCATGTTATTGATTTACTAGACTTTAATTTCCTTTATTTACTGGTACATTTCATTATATCTATTAAATATTTAATAAGGTAGGAGAGCTTTATTATAAGAATCCTAGTAGTGTGGTATACAGTCAGTTTATCTAGATTATAATGGCCTTGTAACAGTTGTGATTAAATACAGTATACCCGATATACTGTACCCTCTGTGTTAATCTCAAACATGTTTTAGGGGAAATCAATATATGAATTTCTATACCTGTAGTATACAGTATCTCAAAGATGACTGGTACAAAACGCCATATTGTTACAAATGGCCCACATTACTATATTGTACTACCGATTAATCTGTTTGTTTTGTTTGTGATCTGTGTTTTTTGAAATAGAAATTTCTACACCACTGATGTAGCATTTGCTGCAAACACTAATAAATGTGATAATCAATTACTTGTTTTGTTGGCAGCTAACAGTGTGCGTAAAACTGCAAATTACGTACCGCATTAATATATAAGGCTATTGAACTGAATAGGCAAAATTGTAAACATGCAGTGTACAATTTTTGGGCCAGCCCCCTTACTTTGTCTCTCTATAGTCTGTCGCTTCCTTTTTGCACATTTTTATTTAGTTTTATTTAGAAAAATTTAAGTAGTTAAAGGAGTGATACGTGTGTTCATTAAATCATCAGTACGCAGAAAATATCTTATTGGTCTTAATTTGATGAAATGTATTTTTTTTTTTCAGATTTAATGCACTGTTCAAATGCACCACAGATAAATATTCCAGAACTTGCTGATAAATTGACCAACAGAACATTGAGTCCAAATTGGGTTGTGGTCTTCAAATCACTTGTAACATGCCATCATCTAATGATATATGGCAATGAAGTAAGATATTTTTTTTTTAATGATGTATAGTACTATAGATGGGTTGTTAGATGTTGATGATGATTTATTTATTTATTTATTTTTTATCTGAAGTGCAGTCTAAATATATGTATGTTTTCAAAAGTGGAAAAACAGTCAAAATCAATGGGGGAAAAAAACAATTAAGAAACGAAAATGAGTATTTGATAGATAATTGTGATGATGATACAGTAGTTTAACCAGGGAAGGCTTCCAGGGTTTGACTGTACGGTACCACCTGTTCATGTGAACTAACTATGATAAACCAAACCACCCCACCACAATGTCCAATGGGATGCATTAAAGCAAAACTTGGATTGGTTAAAATCCTTGGGTGGCCTTTTTCGTTCTAAGACAAAATAACATGATAATGGGAATTACTTTACCTTCCTTCAAAAATGAATATCAGAATTTTGTTACAACTAAAAGCAGCTTTATTCCTGCATAGCAATATTGAGAATCCTCCTATTTGCTTGAGTTATACATCTTATTAGATAATATTCAAGTAGAGTATACTATAATTCATAATAATTATGTATACTATAACAGTACAGTGGCATAATATTGCATGGTGTTATTGGCTTGTTTCTTAAGGAATTATTAAAATGCATCCATTAGCCAGATCCATTTACTGTCACATATTCCAATTCATTAGGCTACACTGTACAGTACATGTTATGTGATGATTTGTATCCACCTCCTAGCAAACTATATAATATTTATGATTTTATTTATTTTATCATTTAGAAATTGATACAGTATATAGCTACCAGAAATATGGATTTGAATTTACCAAACTTCCTAGATAAAACTGGAGTACAAGGTAGGAATTATTATTTAATATCATATCATTACAATCAGTATTTATAGCATTGCTTTCATTTACGTGTTTGACATCTAATCTTCATTTTGTACTGCAAAGTACTTAATAAGTGTGTTTTTATTTTCTACATTACTTTTCCCAATCGCCATCACCCTCAACATCGATGAATATTTAATCATTTGAATATCTTCTTAGCATAATTCATTGTTGAATTTGTTATAACAGGTGTCCCATCCTATTCATCAATACCTTCAAATATGCATGTTTATAATTCACAGAATGTTTAACATCTCATCTGAAAATGATGATTTGTAATGATGTTTATATGGAACTGTTAGTAAACCAGGCTACTGTAAATTATCTTACTTCTAACTGTTGCTGAATTGTTACATAAATTCAATAAGAACATTAAATATTCAGGAGCAGTAACATGCCATTAAAGGCCGATAATAGTGTGCGGTGCACGCCACCTACTTAAATATGTTAACTGGTCTATTCATTAAGTAGCCACATACACTTATGCAGCAATCTATTTAATGTCTTTGTATTATTCATTATTTCTGTTTTTTTCTTTTTTCTGTTCAGTGTTTTTATCAATATCATAACATTAAATAATTTGTAATATTTATCATTTTTGTAAATTAGACATGGTCTCATTTCATTTCTTATTGTTATTATTATTATTGTTATTATTATTATTATTATTATTATTATTATTATTATTATTATTATTATTGTTATTATTATTGTTGTTGTTATTATTACTATTATTATTATTATTATTATTGTTATTACTATTATTATTATTATTATTATTATTATTATTATTATTATTATTATTATTATTATTATGTTTATTATTAATCTAGTTTATATATTTGTTTTCAAATTATATCTGTATTGATTAAAAACCAAAAATAATTCTGTCTTTCAAATAATGGTATGCTTAAAATGTCAATAAATATTTTTTTCATTTCTTTTTGCAGTGATTCATTTTCTACATTATTTAATACTGTCTCTTATACACATCTTATATATATATATATATATATCAGTTTTTAGGATAAAATATTTTTTATAATCTGTACTTTAATTTTATAGTCTGAGCATGATGTTTATATGGCCAAATATGTACACTGTATAATTTATAGAGTTTCTTATTACAAGAAACTGAAGCAATTTCTATTTTTTGCCACAAAGATGGCCACAAAATATTTGCATTTTACAATGTGTGTATTGTTAAGCAACATTGAATGTTATGAGATTTAAACTATGCTGATGGAATGTTGCTGTAATTAAACACTGAATATCAAATCTCGTGAACACTTCAGGAGCAGATGCTAATTAATTCAGAGCATAATTAAACCATTGTCTCCATCTATCTACAATTTGCAATGTATTATAGAATCCATACTGTAAGTTATGATTGACAACATTTTGATGAAAAGTCACAATAGGTAAAATCCCATAAATATTCAATTACTGTATAATAATTGAATTAAAATTTTGTCATGAAGTATTGTTTTATCATTTAAATTTTAAGACTAATGTACAGTAAGTAAACCTTCAGAATCGGTTGTAAGAAATAATTTGTTTTGTACATTGTGGAAGGACACTGTATACATGAGGTATGAAATGCATTGTAATGTGTAAGAATGAGAAAATTTGAATTGGTTCTGTTGAAAATCATTGTGTTTACTGTAGAATCTGCTTAATTAGAGTAATTTAGTGAAAAATTGTTCAATCTACCAAATAAGTATTATGCTTGCATAGAGGATAAATCAATATGTACCTTGCTTTTTTAGGATATGAAATGTCAACATACATCCGAAGATACGCAAAATACGTCAACCAGAAAGCAGTCTCATACAGGCTGGTTGCATTTGATTTCTGTAGAGTGAAAAGAGGGTAAGCTGTAATGATCCATGACGTACCATGTATTGTACACATGCAATGCATAGCTCGTTCCTACATTAGCTAATGTCCAAGGGACTTGAAAAGGGCTTAATAGTTCCAATGTAACATTAGATGTATTTGTGTGGTTATATTAGGGAGATTTCACAACCTTACGATAACGATTACGAATGCGTCATTATCGTTATTCATGCCTAAAACATTCTTGACTATGCTGTATGAACTGAATATGATTCTAGGTTCATGCAAAAAGCATAAATCACCTACATTTTTACATATTATGCAAGTAGGTGAAGGGTTGTCTTTAAATTTGATGACGTAACCCTACTTGTTATCGTTTTTGTAAGCTTGAGAAAACTCCCTATTAAAGTATTAAGGCTTTGAAAAGTTAATTGTTCTATTCTAAGTTAAAATGGTAAAAAAATATTGGTAGCAATAAAGCTATCCACTATTATTGTTATTGTTAATGTTTATCTTGTTTTGTGTTTCCAATAACCACATTATTTCGTATATGTCAACTTATTTACAGAAAGGAAGATGGACTCTTGAGGTCAATGCAAACAGAAAAAGTAAATTCCATATATTTTATCTTTCAATGATATTTTTATTGATGATACATTATTTAATAAGCTCAGTCTGTTCACCATAGTTAACCTATAAAATTATTGGCCCTCTCTATTTTTAGCTATTAACCATCCAATGTGTTGCAGTAGCCAAGTTAACACAGATTTGACCTTTATTGCCAACTATTGATCCTTATATTACTAACTATTGACTCAAGATCCAAGTATTAACCCTCCATAGTATGAAGGGTTAATACTTAGATCTATAGTCAATAGTCAGTAATATAAGATCAAATGTTGACTGTCTGTAGCCAACTTAAACCTCTCCACAGTTAACTGTTGACCCTCTATAGCCACATATATATCATGGGGAGATTTATTTGGTGTTGGGAGTTTAAATACATTTATTTCCAAGGTATTGATCAGTGACCATCAGATAGATTAACATTGAATCACTCTATTGTCATGTTGAATCAGAAGTGAATAATGAACCATACACTTTGAGCTCTTGTATGATCTTCATGGTCAGAATAAAGGCCGTTTAGTTTGTAATCGTGAGTTTCAAGTCAGAATTTCCAGTAAACCAATTCCACAATAAATGAAAATACCTTTGTCCTGATATAATTACTGTACTTCAATCTACAAAGATTTTAACCAGAATTTTCATTTCTTTTTTTCATTGGAACAACAAAGTAAGATACATAATTTTTTTCATTTTGGAACAACAAAGTAAGATACTTAATAAAGAAAATATTAAGAGGTACTATAGATGAGATGATCAAAAAGTTAAATTAAATCAACCATCGAGGAATTAGTTTTAAAACTAAACTAATTCCTCCATGAATCAAATATCTAGTAATATCCAACCACCTAAAAGGCAAACATGTAAAAGTAAATAAAAATTATTTTAATTGGATAAATATATGTAACTAACATTACTGTCCTCCTTCAAAAAGTCAGCTATACCGTGAATTCAGTGTTTGTTTTTATACTGAACAGGTCCTACACAAATGCTATTATTTATTTATTATTTTCTATACATAATGTTGTTCTCATTGAATCAGTTATTCAACCATATTCTTTAATCTAATTATTTAATTGTGTATGCAAGTTGCCATATAATGTATAATTCACTAACAGGATTACCCATTAATGAAACCTAATAAGTATTTTGTTCTCTTCTTCCTTCTCAGCTGCTAAAAACATTGCCTATTCTTCAGGAACAGTTAGATTCGCTACTTGAATTTGAGGTTAGTGTATTAGGCTGTTTAAGAGGAGGTGCAGACTTCTATTAAAATTTAGTATGATTTCACTCATGATGTGTTGATTCTGAACTATTCGCAATGGACTTTTGTCTTTATTATTTCTTTTCGAACTCGTATAACTTCATGTTGATTATAAATTAATGAGGTAATTTAAATGGTAGGTTTTGTTACCATGGATATGATTATATATAGGTTTTTTTTTCTCCTATGTTGGTGATCACAATGATAGTAATCTTTAGTTTTTTAGCACTGTGGATGTCTTAGTCATGTTTCTAAAACAAATGAGGCTAGAGGCTACAAACTGCATCAAACCATTCATAGGATGGAGATCTCATAGTATTATAACTTCAAACAGGCATTATAATAATGAATGCAGGCTCAAAATTAAATAGGATGACATTTGTGGGTGAGGTACTTTAACTCAGTGCTACTGCTACAGTTTTACTATTTGAAATTTTGCTGTTATCTCAAAGCATAATTGCTTTGAAGCCAAAGTAGAACGTAACCATCTTACTTTGATATCACGCTTCAGTGATCATATAATGGAAATCTATACAGTGGACAATTAAAGTGGCAGTTAATGTAGTTTTTATATATAATCATATTTCAGGAGGGTCACTTATCCAACAATACTGTTCATTGTGGTTCCTCATAATAATTAGTTAAATGGATGAATTATTGTCAGTCCATATTAATGAAGCTGTTTATGTTAATAAAAAAATGTAAACATCAGTAGGTGCCCTCCATTCAAACTTTAGTATAATTAATCATAAATAATTATTCAATTAAACAAAATAGCATTTTTTATTTGTCTTTCTATTTTAATGTGAGTGGCTCTGTAAAATGTTGGTATGTAATAATTGTGTGCATTTTAATTTAGATATGTTTTTGAATGCATAACCATCTATTACATGTGACGTTTGTCATGTGCCGGCAATATAGAGATGTATTTTTGCAAATAGATATTATTATATACGGGCAGCAAAATTCTAAACTTTCAATTTCAGCAACAGTAAGGATTGATCTATTGCCCTATAATTATTCCCAGCATTGCGTTAGCACAAGTCATAAGAATTATCCAATCATGGGGCATTTAATCACAGTGTGTACTAAAATGCTTTAATGCATCATCCTTGCATTGAAGATTGGGTGATGCCAAAGTATTGTAACATTTTTAAATTTATTTTATTGTTGCAGGTAAATTCATCACAACTGAGCAATGGGGTGATAACTAGCTGTTTCATGCTTCTCTTCAAAGACTGTATTCGACTGTTTGCATGTTATAACGATGGCATTATTAATCTTTTAGGTAAAGTGTTGAAACTGTGTGTAAAAAATCGTAATATACTGTCATCATCATCATTATTTTCATAACCATTATGTGAGACATTCTCAACCAACAACAGTTCTTTTCAGTATACCGCAAGCATTAATTATATTATTACCTCGCCATGCAAACCTTCAAACAATACATTATTTTTACCATTGATATATTAAAAAAAACAGTCATCAAAAAATAATCTTAACATTTAATTTTCTTGTGGAATCAAGCCTAGAGCCCTTGGGTTTTATTTGTCTCTCTTCTCCAATCTCTCCCCCCCCCCCTCTCCAAAAAAAAATCTTATTTCTACCATGTTGCTATGGACTGTGTAAATATACTTTTAATTCCAATGCACATTGAAATGCTACAAAGGCACACTTATGTTGGAAGGCATTGACTAGGTGTTGTTCAAGGCTTTTGTTTTTGTGTAGGAGTTTATTTAAACATAGTTTTGCTTTGTTTCAGTTTCAACAACATAGGGTTGCTAAATGTAGAATACAACTATGCAATGTTTTAAGTCTCATTAGAAGATTTAAGGAGTTAAATTGTTTGTAGTCATAAGAGCAAAAACATCGTCAGTTCAGTCATATATTTATGCTAGACTATGGGCTCTTATCCGACAAAACAATATAAAAGATACAATCAGTAGCACAAAGTATAGTCCGTATGACTAAACAAACTCAGACGTTACTCCTTTAAGATCTTATTGAACCCCATATCCCTTCCTAATGGAACTTTTGATCTTAGTATATGGACATTACTCAACTATGATACTAGTGACCGGCATACCCAACCTTAATAACCAAACTGTGCTATTGTCTTAAATGACGTGTATAGACCCAACTTTTTGCATAATTTGAAACTGGGACTTTGAGTTCGGAAGGCAAGCTGCTTAATCGTCAAGCAACAACACCACACACTGTAAATTGGGACCTTGCATTCCTAGTTAAAAGCATTTTATAAATTCCTATATTATTATTTTATAAAGCCATTTTCTGTTTCTTTTGCAGAGAAATTCTTTGAAATGTGTAAAAAGGATTGTAAAACTGCATTGGACTTATATCAGAAATTCCTTATTCGAATGGACAAAGTTTCAGATTTCCTGACTGTTGCAGAGGTAGGTTACATTAAATGCTATCCTCATTCTTTGTTAATGAATGCTTATTTTAGATAGAAACAACAATATATGAAGTTATGTTGAATTTTACCATCTTTTGCATAGAAAATATGCAGTTAAAGGTATATTGTTATCTCCACTGTTAGAATAAAGGATTAATATAGACTGTCATGCTTTATGGCAAAGGCTTCTTTTTTTGAACATGAAAGCTTGACCTGAGAATGACATTTTCGACTGTCTAGATGTGTTGTCAATAAAATAATCTCAATACTGTGCGGTCTGTAGTGTCCCACAGTCATCATTTATTAACTCTTACCCTTATCCCCTTCTCCCAAAAGTCTGGTTTTGAATAGAATAATAAAGATTTATGAATTTTATCTGTTACTGTGTCTTTTCTTGTGGGTTTTGTGAATTTGTATTGTCTCTCAATAATTAGATGGAATTTTTAAATATAACTGCACAGGAAACAGTTAATCTTCTTCTCTTACTCCCCCTTCTTTTGGTTCAGACAAATTCTTCTTTTTTGCAGCAAGTGGGTATAGATAAAGGAGAGATTCCAGATTTAGCAAAAGTAAGTAATCATGAATTCTATGTTACTTTCAGCTATTGTGTTTGTAAGTATCATGCTGTTTACTGTTACTTACCTCTATATTGTGATAGATTTAGTAGGTGTTTTTCAACATAATCATGAAAAATTTAATTTGTTTTCTTCAATTATATCTCATAATTTTCTTGTAAAATATTCATTCATGCTCATTCTCACTAATAAGAGGTTCTTAAATTGATCTGTTGAAATTAATGTTTATGAACAAATAGATTAATATTTAAAAATAGTGATGATAATACAGATCACTGTTTGGGATCCATCATGGAGTGATTATCAAGATGATTGAAAATAAATTTATAAGTAACAGGATGAATAAAAAGCAGTCATTCCATCAAAACACTTGTTTCTATAACTACACAACAGTATACATGGAGACAATAGGTGTCAACTATGTGCTATATTGACGCCCTATGAACTCTTACAGTCTTAATTTTATTTGTAATGTGCGTAGCTGAGTCCAGAATAATGACTAATGGAAAAGACAGCACTATCAAGACTAAGGTCTACATTTATTGACTCACATCAATTTGTGCACACAATTTTCGACTAAAGAAATGCAACGTGTGCACAATAAACATTTGTCTCAGTAAGATCTAGTCATTAAAAATGCTACCCAGGTTTTGTATATTTTTTCCATATATGGGCATGATGATGCTACATCAGACCAAAATATGGGCAAATAACAGTGTGTTTGTCACATAACACTGGGTAAGTGTGGATCGAGCCTGACATACTGTCTGTTTCTATTAATTTGTTTTTACATTTCATCTTGGAAAATGTTTTCATGATGGTCCCGAAACATTGAATTTCTGTTATCACTACTATTTAAAAATAGAAATCTGCTATTCTTTAAAAAATATTAATGCGTAACAAAATTCTGTCAAGCTGAAAAACAGTTATTTCTGCTCTTTTGCTAAATAACTTGACAAAAAATTATGTTTAAGATTACTTAGTTTAGATTCCGTTATTCTTTATGTTTTTACTCAAAAGTCTACCTTGTTATTACATAACTCGCTGTCCAGGGGCCTCTTTAGTTCGGCAAATACAAATAGCCTTCAGCTTTCTGGTACTTACTCAAGTCAATTGCTCTCCTTAACTGGCCTCGTGAATGTTATTAGTATTCCTTTACTTTGATATAACCAACTTATACCATTACATGATTTGGTAAAAATACCCCTTGAAAATAATAGAATTACCCATGTCTGGCTTATATTACATCATATTTGTGTTTTAAATTCCAATTAGATGGATTATCATTTTACAAAGTAATGTTGCATCATTTGAATATTGAGCTTAAACCATCCATCCCAATGCAATTAGGATAAACCTTTTAAGTACTAAACAATGTAATTTGTCTTGATATTTGGTTAATTCAGAATGAATGTTTGGGAGCATTTTAATTCATATTTTTATTCTCGTAACCTACTTACATAATAATTATTGATTAGTTATTTGTTTTATTGGTGTTATTGTTAGTTCTGAACATATTTTACATTAAATTATTTAAAGTTATTACTTATAGGATATTGATTAATTGAATCATATGTTATTGGTTAATGATTATATAAATAGTGATCCAATTTTTATAATATATCTTCTCATCCTCTATATCTTTGTTAATTACACATTTGCGTAATGATTGCCTACCATATTCTGTTAAATTTCATTGCAGTTTAAACAACTTCCCAGTGACTTTCAGAATGTGAGTTTTCTCTAGGGCAATTTCCTAGCTTGCTAAACATGAGCCTAAACTAATGCATTTTGGCTACTGCCACCTGTGTTGTTCCGTTATAATTCCTTCAGATAACTAAACTGATACAAGTCGGGCTTGGAATGACTTTTGAGCAAGAACAAGGGAACTCTGATTATATGGACTGCGGTCATATTTTTGGGCATTACCGAGATTCTTATCTACATATTGTGTTCCAAAATTTCTATATAGAATTTACATGGATTTTTAAGGCGTTTTCAATTTTTTTTATTCTACATATTGACGAATTTGAATGATTTTGGATCAAATTATAATTTGTTTTGGAAATATTAATTTTCTATTTCTCTTAGGTTACATCCGAACTTCTATACCAAAAGTCTGATTAAATTTTTAAAGTTTTATGATTTAGATATAAATTCAAATTACAACATATATATTCCTGTTATTGTACCTCTCTTTTTTTGCCCCTCATCCACAATTTTTACGTTTTTCCCTCATCCACAATTTTTATGTTAATATCTAATTAATAAAACAGATATTTGCACGGTGACATTGATGCCCGCATTTGGTCGGACCCATATGGTCAATTGAAATAGTAGTATTTGGTTGTTATAACCATGTTAATTAGTGGTGCCGTAGAATGTGTATGTACTGGTACTAGCATTAGTAGATATGAGAGTTTAGCCCTTGTTTTTGACCAAAACTTTCATGGTTTGATGAGGTACGGTACTCTTTGTTAATTTGTGGTTGTACCAGGTAGAAACGGAAATGTTGGCCGTTCAAACCAATTTATGTTTTACTATTTATTTTGTTTTGAGGAAGAGAATTTTTATTTTGATATTTATAGGATGCAATTTTTTCTTTGGATAAATTTTGGGTATTCCCTTGTATGGGGATGCATAAATGTATACAATAAAAATATGATGAAAAGCAATATAAATTTATTTTGTATAATTGTCAGCATTATTTTTCATCTTACAAAGTATGTAAAGAAGTATAAACAGGGGAAGCTATTCTTAACATACCCTGTGGGACTTGACCTCTTCCCTTCAATAATCAAATCTTATTTGAATAAATATTTCTGTGAGATTCAGCTGTCAGACTCTATATCTCTCAATCTGTATTTCATGTCTTTTTCATTAGTACCTGAGCCTCTAAGATGTTGACTGATCTATTCATGATATTTCTTCATTAGGCTCTCGACTTACAAAGCAGTTCCCAATGGCTGAACGATCTTGTAAAGGTAGACCTCCAAATGCTTTGAGAATATCTCTACCAATCAGCTGTCTATAGCTGCACCTTAGGCATTTTTTAGTTATTGCACAATTGGCCTAAAAAAGTTTATAGGTTACATAATTAGTTATGATTTTCATTCTGCTTTCCTCACATTCTTTTTGGTTTTTTAATAGAAATTTCTTTCCTCATTTAGAAATAACCATCCTTTGGCTTCTAGATCATACTTATTACCTGGTACAACCATAACAAAACATTCATTTTGAATCAGCCATTAACAGTTCTTATATTTATCTTAAAACTGCTTTCTTTAACATACTAATTATATGTTTTAATATAACTAACTTGGAATATATTTTGAATGTTAATCATCATTGTAAAGATAGCTATAGTCTGATACACAGTAAACCAATGACTAACACTGGTGAAGCAATGACTTTACTAATGGTAAACCAATGATATACCAATGGCCTTACCAGTGGTATACCAATGGCGTTACCAGTGGTATACCAGTGGCCTTACGAGTGGTATACCAATTGCTTGTGCATTAATAGTAAACCAATATCTACTGTATACCTATGCTAAACAAATGGTGCACTTATTGTTTGATATTTTTAAATCGTAGTTAATTGTATTTTTTTACTTTCTGGGAAATGTATTAGATATTTTCTTGTAAGGTGTTTTGGTTCGATCATTATCATTATTATCAATACCATATTCAGATTCATAATGTCTTTGCTATATTCATCATCATTGTAATCATCATTGGAATCATCATCATTATCAGTATTGTAATCATCATCAACATCATCATCAACTCCATTATAATATTTGTCATTAAAATACTTCACCATCATCATTAACATTATCGTCAGCATCATCACCATTGTTGTCATCATTATTCACATCGATATCATCATCATCATTATTATATATCAATCAACAATTGACATCCTAGGCTTGGCTCCCCACTGCTGGAACCACTTGCATCTGTCTGTTGCAACTCTTATGCTAGCAAGTGTGACTCTTGTAAATGTTTTGCAGATAGTTTAGGTTGAAACTGATTTTCCTACATTTTTTATATGTCGCATGCATTTAAAATGGTTTTCCTATCCCATTTTTCTTTGCTAGGAACATAATGTGGAACAAAAGTACTTTCATTAACTGCATTTTTCATATTTAATTAGATGAAATGTCTGAAATGTGTTTTTGTAATATAGTGTTCACTTTACTATATACATTCATAATTTAGACATACTTCCATAGTAGAAGAACATCACTAAGTTCTAGACCTCTAATCTTATGCTGGGTGTCCATAAAGCAATTTGTCTGTCTTCACCCAAGATTCAAAGAAACGTAGACGTTGCAGAAGATCTAATGTTTGATTGGTTTATGCTGAATGTTAATATATGACTAGGGAGCAGAAGAGGTTTTAGTTGTATAATATTATCTGTGTATCTAATGAGCAGGCTATGTTCTAATGAGCAGGATGGTATGTGAAGCCTTTGAGAATTGTAGAAATCACAATAGAAACTTAGTATTATCAGCTTTAACTCAGCTGGTTGTACTTAGATGTCATGCAAACATGTTTGGTATTTTTACTAAAATCATCTTGAACCATTATAATAATATGCAACTTCAATATGCATTTTTTTTTTTTGCTTTTGTAAGTGGGTCATGAGCTTCTCTAACACATTCCAGAATTACATGCAAGTTTACAGTATGCAACAGGCATGATTTTAATTAACATTCTGATCCCTTGAACATGAATTATAAATGATTAGTTTCCTTTGACCTTACATTTGATATAATCAGCTGATGAGATGTTACTTTAACAATAAAGCTATCAACCAATCAGGATGAAGAATTGATTTTGCTACTCTAGACTATATCGGGCCAGGGCAGTCTTCCTTCACTGAGTAGAAGCATTCAATAATATTGCTGCAATAAAAATAATAATAAAGCAAAATGCTTTCTTGGATGTTTTTTTTTTCTGTGGTATACATAAGCAAATACAGTGTATATATATAATACTGTGTATACATATGTATATAAATATAGATGCCAGATTGATGTCTATGATGAGTGATGATATACTGTTTTCATAGCTAATTTAAATTACTAACTAATTTTTTTTTGTAACTGACATTTAATTTTTATTAGAATTGATTGGTATATTACCCACCATCCTTTCTCAAATTGCACTCAACATTATCATAATGTGTACTTTAAAAATGCTTAAACAAATACGCATTATCATTCCATGTTATTTTGTAGTACTTAACATTACCTATCTATGGCATATATATCCATCTACTAAAAAAATTACTCTTATAATTTGCCATGGAATGTCATTTTACTTATTTATAAGTTATTAATTATGAATTATAGTAAATTAATGCATACAAGATGCAATGCATATAAATCTCTACATGCTTCATATATAATATGAAAAAAAATGGTCAATATATTTTTCAATTACATGAATTTTCCTTTCTGTGTAATGTCAACAAACAAAAATTCCATTTATATAAATACCATTACCATTTTTTGAATATAAGCTCAATCTTAGTTTATTTCAATTTGCTCAATATATTAAACTAGGACATACCCGTATATATAAACATACAGTATAGTTCTGAATCATATATCTCATAATGTCAAGCCCTTTAAATGCATCACATTATTTCCATTGCCAGCAGATTGAACAGTTTGGAACACATATTCCTTCAGAGTTATTACTTATTTCAGATCATAGCAATAATTGCATTGGCATTCTATCCAACAGGGTAGCCACTAAATACTCAGGTGCGGAGACAAAGTAGAGCAACATCATCATCATCATTATCATAAACATCATCAAAACATCATCATCATCATCAAGATAATTATCTTCAACATCATCATTATTAACATTATCATCATTAACATCATCCACCACCAATACCAAGGTACCAACTCAGGCCCGTAGCTGGACTTAATTTGTGGGAGGTTCATTTCTGTGGAAAGTGGACCTTTTGGCTTGTATGATCTCCGATACTCTGTTCTGATATTGTAAATGTATGAATATGAATTTTTCGTTCTTAAATGCGGACCTTCTCCAGTTTTTGGCCGGTTCGTCGTAACCCCCTTAACCCCCTATGCTACGGGCCTGCAACTAAATGCTCCTGTGTGGGGATAGACAAAGTAGATATAGTCCCTAACCCCGAGGACACACAAAACGCCCAGGTATAGACTTCAACCCTGATTTTTTTTTTTAAGCCCAAACTTTCTTACGGTGCCACAATCTTCCTCCAACATAGTAATATGAAATCAGCCTATAATATAAATCAGTTTTAATAATATTGCATGGTTCTTGTAATTTCTTTATTTATTATTGCTTTATATTTATTTTTTATCAAATACCTGAAATTGCTATAATAAAAATCAACCCAGTCAACATTGTTGCAATGTAAATTTTTTTAAATAGAAAACTGTAAGTCTTGTAATAAATATAATATTTTTATTCACCTGTATGCATGCTTATAAGTTATACTGAATTTAATCTTAACAAATTCAGAATACTATATATTTTTATATCCAGCATTATTTAGATAACAGAGACCACATCTAATTAGTCCCACTTTTGCATAACAAATATTTTGTAATATTTTTTATAAAGTTGTAATAATAATACAGTCATTTCATAGTTGATTTCAATTTCACTTTCAAATTTGAAACTACATTGGTGTAACATTTCAAGAGAGATATATTGCATAGTTGCAAATAAAAGTTTATCATAAATTAGATATTAGAATCTCAATTGGTTTTCTCTCTAGGTACAATTTTAGTGTACATGCTGTTGAAGCTGTGGCAAAATGTAAAAATAATCACTTATATATTATGTACCACAAAAAGAATATTGAAATCTTTAATAGATTTTTAAAAAACTTGTGTGCCATGCTAACTAACAAGACTGATTTAACCTATATTTTGGTTTTACATTAGTCGAACTTTAGTACAATATTGACTTATACCTTAAAAATACTTCTGTAGAAAAGAAGTTTTTTTTAAATTTTTTTATATTCCTATTTTATTGTTTTTATATTGTTATTCTATCAAATCATAGCAATTTAATTCACAACTAGATCAAATTCAACTAAGTGTCAATTTATTGCTTCATATCAAGAGTTGATGAAGTTTAAATTTTAAAACTGGCACCACAACTATAAGACATTTTAAAATAAAGGTTACCAAATTGAAAATGAACCTGCCATTAGAGAACAAGTTATGCTGTTCAGATGTTGTTGTCACACTAGTTAATCCTTGGAAGACGTTGCCATCTTAGCGTCTTCCCTGGTTAGTCTCGGCAAAATCTCATAATCTTGCCATCATTCCGTCTCGTTAGCGTATTGTATTTCAAATGTCACAGTTTAATGTAGCAATTCCTATGCAAAATTACAATTAGTATTTTTTAGAAAATTGTACACAAAATAGAATGACAAATGCTCATTGAAATATGTGATGTTTTTTTGTGTTAGGCTCCAAGCAGTCTCCTTGATGCATTAAAACAGCATGTACAGTCTCTGGAGTCTAGCAAAAAGGTGCAGTGGGTAAAGTAAGTATTTTGTGCATCTTTTTCAAATGTATTTTGCATTCAAAACCCCAAAATTATGTAAAATATAAATAGTGTAGTATTAAATATACTAAAGGAATATAATGTAGAGTAACAGGTACAATTTAGTGAAAAAAAATATATGATGTAAAATAACAAATAAAGATCTGTAATTTACTGTATTGTTATAAGCAGAAATGACAGTGTGGATAATATACAATATTTAAAAAAAAACCTATTTGATATAGTCGTTATTTAATGGTAATTGTGATATACTTGTTAAGCGCATAATACAAAATCTTTTCTATATGCTAAGAAACCACAGTCCAACTGGAAGAAAGAAGCAGTAAACATTCTACACGATACAAACTGAGTTTGTGGATTTCCATTAACATTGTTTCCTATTTAACTGGAAATGTGTTAATATGTTATAATTTTCCAGAATACAATTTAATGTACCATAAAATTATGTATCTGGCCTGCTATATACATAAAACTCTGTCCACACAAGTTTATGTGCCAAATTTGTGTGATATGCCCATGATATATGGGCATAATGATTGCATACTACACCCATATATAGGCATGATGAGGTTATGTAACACCCATATATGGCCATGATGATGTCATACCACACCCATATATGGGCATGATGATATCTTCTTTACCTAAATGCAAATCATATATATTTGTCGCATGATGCATGATAGTGTTCATTAAAGCTTAAATTCTGTTTATGTTGTGTCCTTAGACCTGCCACCATTGCATCAGCAGTGAATGCATTCTCTTCAAATCTAGCCAACATTGATCCAGATGAGAAAAAATTAGCATTAGAAGAGGAAAAAAGCAGGTTGGCAGCATTGAAAAAAGTAGGTATAGAACGATAACGAGATAGCGCTCTCCGCGATCCTATGCGTAACAAATAGAAGCGTCGATGTTCAGTAAAAAGAAGCATAAAAATTAATTGTAATAGAGAGAGGGCGTCCTAGTTACTATGGTGGTTGTTCCAGAATTTGCACATAGATCATAGATGTCAAAGTTCAAAAGTAATTGTAATTGTGGGAGCGTGCCCTACACTGCGTTGTTAGAGAATTTTCTTGCAGAATTTCCGGAGAACGCTATCTTATTTTCTAAGATAGCCTTATCTTTTATTATAAGATCTTTAGTATAGAACAACAAACTGTGTTGAACTAAGATTTTCTAGGTGTATCCATAGAATAGAGAAACAGGAGTTACAACTACCCTAGATCAGTCATTTACAATTTTCTCGATCATTAATATAATTAATATATTTCTCTTATACTCTCCTCAGCATACACACATGCCTCAGTCTGCAGTTGATGTCAACCAATCATCTACAAATAACAACCCATTCAATGCGAGTACCTCACCGACAGTAGCAGCACCAGCTCCAGCAACAACCCCAAGTCAAGATCTTTTTAGTGTTGTCCAAACAAGTAAGTCAATGCCTTATGTATACCCATGACTAGCCAATTCCTCTGTACAATATACTTACATCTGTTTACCATAGTGCTATTGTCTGTGTAAATTGTTCATTCCTAATGTATTTATCTCAAAAAAAGCAAACCTTCTTTAAACTCTGATGACTTCCATAATCAGCAACAATATTAAATGTTTCTTGTGTTTGTTTCTCCCCCAACCCAGAATGCATTGTGGTAAACAGTTGTTAATGTACAAAAGTGCTATCTCTATTGGCGTCATTGCTCCATTGGCCAACTATTTACTTGTCATCTATACATCTGCTAACATTTCATGAATGAGACATCGTGAACTTGGCATATTTTTTTTAGATCCATCGCAACCGCAACAAACGACGAGTAAGCCGTCAGAGGACCTGATGGGCTTAGCACCCAATCCAATGGCAGCTGTCCAAGCAACGTTACAAGCCCAGTCTCAAATGATGCACCCCGGGGTACCAGGAAGCTCTCCTTGGGGCTCGCCGAATGGTAAGAACTAATAACCAACACTCTGCACATAATATCATGCATGCTCATTTTTTATGCTTCGCTTTACAAGCATAGGTACATACATGCAATCATGCTAAAAAACATGCCTTGTTAATTCAATTGTAAATCATTTATTTAAAAAAAAGTATTAAAATGGTTTATTTAATTTAAATATTGATCAGCCTTTCTTAATTTATTGGCAGGTTTCTTTAATAGATGCAGAATTATTAGTGTTTTATTATTAATAACTTAGATCATCTTGTTTTATATTTTTTTTATATAATTTAATTAAAGCCCCATTCCCTGCAAAATTTCACTAAAAACTGACTTTTTTTAGAAAATATGCATTTGCATTACTCCAATTATTATAAATCATGGAAAAATATTGGCATGAATTTTAGTTTTACGCAAAAGAATTAAAAAAAAGAGAAATACAGACTATTTCTCATAAAATATTACCATTTTCTCGACGAATTCATCGTTACTAGGCAAATTCAGAGGTTGTAGATCGCATCCACTGGAATACTCTCGCTTTTATGTATACTTTATACAGTCAATAAAGTGCGCCCTCTCTAATGAGAATAGTTTTTGTACTTCGCATCTCGCACAATGCGGTCGTTCGGCTAGGCTGAGATATGTTTGTTAAGTGTCAAAATCTCAGTCAGAATCAGTTTTTTAACAAATTTGAAATAATTCCTATGAAATATTATATTTCACAAGTGTCAATACTAGCAACGGAAAATATCATGTCGGCCGTTTTTATGTGTGATAACAGAACCTAAATCGAGGTAAGGCTAGGCCTAGCCTAGCAGCGTTGGATAGGCTAATGTTTTTTCTGATATTTCTTCTCACGACCTATCGCAAAATCAACATGAAAAATTCATCCGCATCTATTTTTTGTGTGGAACACAAAAAATCAAATTTCAGTCTTATTTTACATTTTTTTCATTTTTAGGAATGTTTAAATTCAGTTAAACTAGCAATTCCGTATTATATTTATAAATCTTTATAACATTATACAAAAATTAGATTTTTCTTAAAAACTGAAATTTTGCCGGGAATGGGGCTTTAAGGTGAATAATCTTATTTTACCTTTTTATCTACCAGTTTCCAATTGATTGTCTATAAAAAAAACTAGCAGTAAATTACAGTTTTATATCTTATGAGTGAATATCCTCAAGGCTTTACAATTTGGACATTATCACAGTAACTAAGAGCTTCAAGTTTCAATGCTGCATTATTTTAGCTTTCAGAGTTGATATCAAAGTCCATTTGTTTAATCATTATCAGAGCTTGTATTCTTGTTTTCTTCGCTCTATGTTCATTGCTTTCTTTTCTTTGCTTCAAAACTTTATCTTCTCATGCGGCACTTGTTTTGATTTGGTGGATAAATGCTGATTTCGCTGAAGCAAAAAACTCTGATAGAAATGTGAATGCGCATGAACCAACTCTATTGATTTGCGCAACTAAATTTGCCTAGTGGAAAACAGGATTTATTGTTTTACCATGAACTGCTGCATAGATTCATGTAGATTTAGACTGTTGATCAGACAAGACTGGAGCTTGACATGAAATACCTTGCTGGTACTTGTAACAAAAAAATTAGTTTTGTAGCATCTTCCCTTCCTAGTGTACTGGTACCTCATTCTTGTGCATTATATAATCCCTCTCAGCAATTTAAATATAAATCATGCAACAAAAAGGATAACAATAAACCCCTCCCCCCCCCACCTTTTCAGGACCCTTGAGCTGAAATTTTTTTTGTTACAATAGGAAAGTCAAGAAATCTCATTTCCCGCCATTTAGGTATCAACATTTTCCTGGGCGGACCTCCTGACCCCCTTTTCTTTTTGGAGTTCATTTATTCATGAAAAAAAGAATACGTATGCAACTATTCATTTTTTTTCTGTATGTATACACATATAATAGGCATATTTACTGTAATAGGAATGTGAAAATTTACCTGACTGTTTTCAAGAGGGGAGAAACCTTGACCTTAAGTCATTAAAAGGTACCTCAGAAGTTTGGACCCACCCCCTCCCCCAAATTTGAACCCAGATCCACACATAATAGCTATTTACTAATTTCAATACAATTGATTAATATTCAGGATATACAGATAAACACATTGATTAACAAATTCAATAATATGTTTTTTCATGACTAATTGCATTTTTCCGTGCTCTCAAAATTGCTTGTCACACCGAGTCTTCTGGTAATTTTGATGTTCTATTGGTATCCAATGCGTGTGTTGTTTGTTTTTTACCATGTCGTATCATTGTGTGTTTTCTTCATTTTTGCCATTCACCTTCAGGCGTCATGAATTCTCAAGTATCGGCAAATTTCGAACAGGCATTTGGTTCGACGCCGGCGCCAGGTAGGTCCCGGGAACACTTCTTATAGGTGGAATACAAGAATTATTCTACCAGAGGGGGTAGGAGAAACTAAAGAAACAGCTCAATTGTCTTCTTCAGGTCATGTTTATGCTTTTGTTTAAAAAAAATTTGATCAGTATATACTTTCATCTATTTATTTACTTTTTTGTTCTTTTAAATAGAATGAACTGCCACGATTGTTGCTAACTTGCATATTAGTTTTCTAATTATTCCTACTAAAATTCTGTCTGTAAAACTAAATAATGTAAAGTTGTATTTTTCTAAATTGCTATTAATACTTTTTAAAATTGTTATTGTATATTTTTTATTTACTTTATTATGATAATATGATGTGATTAAAATGATAATCATAATTATTTATATCTTTTGTGTTCATACGGTAAATAATGAAAGAAATTGTTTGGCGATAATAGGCACACAAGAGTGGCCAGATGGGCAGTGCTACTACAAAATGTAACACCTCGCATAATAACACCAAAAATCAGAACAAGGGTGTTATAATGCAAGGTTGGCGACAAAAAAACCACCAAAAATGGGAAATATACAACAATTTCCCATTCCGCCAACCAAAGCACTTGTTTAAATAGAATGAACTGCCATTATTGTTACTAACTTGCATATTAGTTTCCTAATTATTCCTACTAAAATTCTGTCTGTAAAACTAAATAATGTAAAGTTGTATTTTTCTAAATTGCTATTATATATTTTTTATTTTTTTATTTATTATTATAATATGCTGTGATTAAAATGATAATCATAATTATTAATATTATTTTTTAATATTCAGACATGATAAGAGATTGTTTGTATTAGACTATAGGTTTCATGTTATTCAAACTAAATTGTTCCCACAAATGAAACATTCTAAAATTGACAAAACTGGGATAATGAATAAATTCTATTTAAGAAGTGTCTTCAATCAATCAAGCATTGATAAAGAATATTTAAATTATCAAAATTATATTAATACCTCACAGCTGGCCAGGAGTTACTCGGTGAGATAATGCAGCCGATGAACAAGCCAGAAGAAAAAGCACCGACCACCGACGGTCTCATCTCAAATGGAACGTCGAAAGATATAGACAGCACTCTCGCTCAATTAGCTACCAATCTTGACATGAAAGTAGGAACACCGAAAAAGTAAGTGCATGTGGCAGTTAAAACTGGTAGTAAAGATTATGTGTACACTGAAACATAGTGGTCTTTGTGCCTGTGGCTCTATGTCTTTGTGAAATGCAGGTTACAGGGAATCAAGTTTAAGAAAGCCCATGTGCACGTTAAAAAGTAAAGACGGACACTCACTACGCATAGCAGTTATATGCCAATACGAAAATGCAACCCCACTACATTCACATAATGGATCATTTTTAATGACGATCTGACTCGCGTACAATCAGTAGATGGTGTAGAGTTGGATTTTATCGTATGATGTCGTAGAATGCTGTTGTAGAATGCCGTGAGTGCCTGGGTTACCACTCTTTAGGGGGAAAAAAAAAGTAGAGGATTGCCTCTGGCTATACAGCCTAATCCACCACCTGAGGTGTGCTACTCTGTGGCTGCCATAGGCCCAAAAGCAAGCCCAAATTACCCAGTTACTTAACTGAGACCTATAATTTAATTTACTTTTTTATAAATAGCTTAGCTCTCTAAATTGAAAGAAAAGTCCTTTACTAAGCCTTGCCTCTTGGTTATTATTGCCAATTTTCTCATAAAACGACTGTAACATTGCCTGCAATATAATGTTGTGAAAGTGTGAGACGTGCGCATATTCCTGACCCAGTTATTTAATAACATGTTCTGATTGATCGGTTTTAAAATTTTGAATGATACTCTAGAACAATTCATTCTGATACTTTATTGTTGTTGCCAGTGTTAATACCACACTGGTATCACTTCCACCATTGCTCAAAGGATACTGTTTTTCAGATATGTTTTTTGTAAGCCTGGTTCCAATATCATTTGTGGCTGCAGTAAAACTATCCTATGACATATCAATCATCATTATGTTTGATTTCTCTACTGTCAACCTGTCAATCATGATGTAACTGCATATGTATAAAGCTCTATCTAGATTATCAAATATTCTTTGACAAAAATGCTGCATGCCTATATATGTGGCAAAGACAAGCCAAACCAGTCACTCATCGCAAATTGTGTTTCAGAGAAAATAGCAAAGACATGTTAGAATGTAAAATTTTTAGAAATCTATTTTATTTCACTAAACTAAGGTTTATATATTTATACATCACACTGTGCTGTTATTTTTCCCAATTTCAATGTTAAAACAACACTTTTTAATTATTTTATTATAGTTTCTGCATGAGAAATGCCTGAAATCATAAACCTTGAAGGCTGATTTCTCATATATTGTTATTGTTTATTGTACAGCTGTATGCTTAAATGCTTGTAACTTCAGAAGGAAATGTCAGATTTGAGCGATTTTTTTTTACCATTTTATAGCTCTTATTTTACTCTTTAACCCTATATTAATAACTCAAAATCGATTTTTTTTTTTTGAGCGATGAGTGACTGGTTTGACTTGTCTTAGCCATATATAGTCATGATGTGCCTGTATATGGTCATGATGGGATGTCATCATGACCATATTTAGGCATGTTTTTGTTAAATAAAATTTGTCAGTCTGGACAAGGTTTCAACCATCAATGCTGCAGTTAAATTTGCTTTTGGTTTGGTTTTGTCTTGCTTCGTGATATTGCAGTCTTTTTTTATTTTAGGGCCCTTTGGTATATATTTTACTTATATTATTTCTTGAGAAAACATTAAATCATAAAGAAATGCATTTTGAAATCTGCTTGATAATTTTATTTCCAAGTAACATAAAAGCTATGAACTTGGACATAGAAGTTAATGTATCTAACCCCTAGTCTGAAAATCTATTCTAAAATCCTCATGTTTATCTATATATTTATCGTCAAAAACAGCCTCTATAAACTTCCTGGGACATAACATAGATGGTAGCCCTTGTTTAGGCTCAGTTGTGATGAACAGTGGTAGATTTCAGAATGTGTATAGATCTTTTAAAAATAATTTTCTATAGTCCTCAGTGTTGTCTCCTTGAGGCTAAAGGTTACAAAATGTTTACCCTTATTCTCACACAGGATACATAAAAAGTCCATAAAACAATTAGTCAGCGGAAATGTTTCCATCTGATGTAACAATCAAGATTAAATTGTTTATTTTCTCAACTTTATTATATTTATGTTGCTGCAAAAAAAGTCAATTAAACAAGTACTTGGTGGGATTTTTGGTATAATTTCTAGGGGAACAATATACCTTTAATGCAAGGGTGTTTTGCCTCACATTTCCCCCATTTTTATAATGAGTGATCCACCCAGGCTTATGCTGCAAGCATAAGTATTCTAATCATTTACTGGTATACTGTATGATGTGAGAGGTGGCTGCCAATCGGAAGTGCAAGCATTTCAATTCCACTTATCATTCTCATACTTGCATCTTTGCTTATATTTTATCATTCTGCATCATTGATTTGTCTGCACTTGTTAGCTTGTTTGACTTGGATTTGACCTGTGCTGGCAAACTGAAGTAGGTTGATGCATGGCATGTGTCTGTGTAACCCATGACTACATAATCTAGCTGCTATTGCCATCAAAGGCCTAACCCAGCTCTCCCCATTACCACTAAATATAAATATGGTAGCTTCCCTTCCACTCCCTACAATATTGATATCTTATGATGTTAGCTGTCTCTACCTCTCACATTCCTATCTATATTATCTAGTTCAGTTTCCTCATTTTCTAGTCTTGTTCTTTTCTTATTTACATCCAATATTCTGATTCCCTTCTTTTTACCACTCATATTCTATATTCCTCATCATTGTACTCTCTTATTCCTATCTCTTCCTATATTCTAGTACTCTCACATATTCCTTCTCCCTCATATCTACTTTCTTCCTGGTCTTTCAAATATTCCCTCCTTATATCCAGCCTTTTCATATTTCATTTCCTCTTAAACATCCGGAACTCTTTTAACCCATGTGGCGATCTTCCATATTCCAGTCTGTACTACAGTATATATCTCTTTGTCAGTCATCATTGTTTGTATTACTGTATATAGTGTACCGGTACATACTGTAGATATCCCATACACATCTTTAAATCCTAATGGTTAACAAACTAATTCTCCAGTTTGCTTTTGATTACATTGAGAATTTTTTTATTATTATTGATTCTTATTTTGATATTACTAATTATCTTTTATATTATTTTCAAACTAATATTGTTCTTGGGTTTTTCTTAATAATGTTTTACTTTACAGGTTGGTTTATTATTTTTGTTGTAGTTAATTCCAAAAAAGTATAATATACTATAGTATTCTGATTGATCAGTGTCATTGTTACAACTGTTTATAGTAATAAAATACTAATTACTTAAAAAAAGGTTAAAACATTATACTAGTTTTAATATCAATGAAAAATTGTTGATGATATTAAATCAGATTTTGAAATAAATAAAAATCATTCAATTATTTTAATTGCCTATGATTTTCAGAGCTGATCACCAATGGACCAAAAACCCGTCAAGGAATGTGAAGACTGGTGGTGCTAACTGGACTCCCCAGCAAACCACGTCAACAACATGGCCGCAAGGGCAGCCATATATGGTAAGCATTAACAACAAAGAAAACAAAACGCTTGTATCTTAAGCTAAGCATTCATTATCAGATTATTGTCTATCAGACTTTGGGGAAGTACTGTAGAGCATGCAGAGGAAAATCGGGGGTTTTTTTGCCGATGGTGGGGGCAGTGGTAACCGAGAATCTAAGTGCAAGGGGGGCAAGATCTATGATCCAAGATAGGCAGGTTGGAGTGTTCTCTTACCTATTTTTTCGATGATTTCACACATGGTTGAAATTGTTTAGGCTTCTGTCCTTGGAGAAAGTTGGGTTAAAGGGTGTGGGGTGGTGGTTTTGGAAAGTTCCCCTGTTGCCACCGTTGGATCCACCACTGGCATGTCACAACCTCTGAGGCATGGAAAGACACACAAATTGTTTGATCAGAGAAAGTCTGAAGTGAGTATACAATGTCAGACAGTCTGATTAATGACATAAATTTGATGTGACAATGAATGCTAAAGCATGTGACATGCCTAAATATGGTCATGATGACATCACGTCATGACCATATAAGCACATCATAGCTATATATGGGCATACAACGGTGTTTTGTCAAAGGAAATTTGATAGTCAGGATAGAGCACTGGGCTTTAAATTAGCCACTATTTTGCACATTCAACATGGCAATCAAGTACAGTAGGTAGTATATTTCGTGTAAAATAATTGTAATAAATTATATTTAATTGATGCTTAATATTGAAAGAGAGGGTAGAAGCTAAATCTGTA